TTTGAAAAACAAGACAAATCAATCTTACTCTATTTTCAATACTTCGTATGTTGGTACATGAATTGTTTTGAGTATGATTTAAACCTGTAAATAGCTATCGTTGCTTTAGCAGAGAGGTGACGTGTGTTAATTTAAATGATGCAACGTGTAAGATTTTGATTATTAATCATAATTTAAGTTATCCCAATTTTCGACAAAATGTCCACTGAATTGTAAATTGTTATGTCTTACACTGTCATAGGCGTAGCCAGGAGAGGGTGCGATGGCGCCCCCCTCCCATAACCAATGAAAATATGGCCATGACAATAGAGGAAGAAAAGAGCCTTAAAATATGCTTTTTATTTGAAGCTTCTAGCTCAATTTTGAAGGATGTTACATACATTTTTATAATTCAAAACAAATCTTACACGTTTTCTCATACCAAACAACAGCATGCTAGGTACTTAAAATTAGGTAAACTTTACTCCTCAAAAACTTAGCTTCTTATAAAAGATAAGATAATCATAATATAGGGGATTGCAACATTTGCGGGACTTCGCGGGACATTGCGGGACACGCGAATTAGCCTAATTTTGATCAAATTCGCGGGATAGTCCCGCCATTCGCGGGACACTTGACAGCTCTGTGCTTGGACAATAGGGTTATGACTGATGTTGCTAGAAACCCTGTACAACCAACTGCAATGAAGAAGATGGTGGTTAGAGCATCCCCAGTTTTTCACCATTTCGAGCACTTTTCCAGTGATTTTGGCCATTTTTGGACCAAAGATGATCAAAGTGAAACCCCCTAGATTTTTTAAAAAGTGAACCCCACTTGGCAAATCCTGGCTATGGGCCTGTTATGGCTACAATCTGCGAAAAGACTAGCGTCCGGTATATGCATTAGAAAATAGAATCCTGCATTTCTCATCACTGTTATTGACATTTTATATTTGAGTATACTGTGTGGCACCTGATGAAGACATAGAAGAGGATCATCTAGACAAATGTAACCTCCAAGGGGGAGGAAATTCTAACCTTCACAATTCTCATTCATTAATGATTTCTCTTGTTAACAAACATTGGAAAAGTAATATAAATATTTGAGATGACTAGAGTACCTTGATTTTGCATTCAACGAAGACATTAGTATACACTGTCAATTCCAGACTTTACAGATTCACTGAATTTCATGGTATATGTGATTTAATAACATCCGTATTACTTGTTAACGAATCTCCTCATTTTTCAAGTTTATATTTTATCTCAGCATTTCTTGCAATTTTTTTATTCACATATTGGTTATTGTTCAATATTGTACAGTTTTCTTTGTTTCCACAAAATCATGTGTAATTGTCCCTTCCAATATGTACAAACAATCCAATTGGACCAATAAGGTAACTTTTCTATTTCTAAGTGTTGGGTATCATTATATAAAAAAAGCATTTTAAGACCCTTGAATTTTCACAGATTTCATGCGAATATAATGGGGGCTCCACTATAAAAGCAGAAAGTCAGTTAGAAAATAATGTAATATCATGTTTGAAACTTTATATGGCCAAAGGTATCTGACACCTCAGACCCGTTTTTCCACATGTCACTGTCTAGTATTTATGTATAGAATCAGTTAATCTAAATACATTCTGAGTTTGATGAGAGTTTTACATTAAATACCAATTTAAAAGCAATCTTGAAATGAAATAAAAGTAATAGATTTAATGATTTATGTACTGTTAATTTCATCATAAGTTGTTATTTGATCCACTGATTGCGTATTGCATTACTAAATGCCATATCTCCATTGATTAAATGGCTCCAAGTGAAAATTAATCTAAATAATTAAATGTAACAAAAGAGGGCTGCAGGTTTAAAGTGCCCCCTCGCATAATAATATCCACAAAGAATTAAAGGATATGGTGAACTACATTCGACATTGTTTTTCTCTTAAACCAGTTATTGAAACCAATCTGTAAAAAACACATCCTTCATGTGATGGTCACCAATTGACATTTTGCGATCAGAATTCAGGAATTTTGTTTATGGATACTGTTGTCATGTATTTCGTCTTATTGGTGTGACTTCATATAGAAATGATATTAGCATGAATGTTGATCTAGTCAAATCGAATGCTTTCATGAAAAATAAATCAATAAAGCACGAAATATAGAAGATAATCTCTCAAATCAAACATCTAGAGCTGTTTGGCCTAATTGGTACGTCACTACAAGATAGAATCCATTCGGTGATCGCAAATCATCAATTGACAACAATTTGATGTGCAAATTATTTATGATTCTAATATGATATATATACAGGGTGTCTCAAAAAAATGTACCCAAAAGTATATCAAGAGCACAGATAAACCAATCAATATTTTCAGACATTTTTTGCATGGTCATGTAGCCAAAACATGAAAGTTTTCTCCCCAATACACCATTTTTATTTCAGTCTTTTCTTTTTGATGCTTTAACCCTTTACCTTTTACAGCACATAATCGATGTAACCTCATATTTCGATGACAGCCTGTATCCTTACTGCTACATTGCTCATCACATTTGATAATAATTCCGGTGGAATGTTTTGGAATTCTCTTTGAATGTTGCCCTTAAGTTGTTCTCGGTCTTTTTGCTTGGAATGAGCATTAAAACACTCCTTCAAATAGCCACAGAGAGAGATGTTTGAAGATGACGATGGCAGAAAAACATAGATAATCAGGTCACTTATCGGCAAATGATTCAGGAGCTACCTTCCAGAGTTAGGCAGGCTAGCCCGGAGACCAAATGATATCCAAATGAAAGCACAGTGGTCTCAAATTGATACACACAACAAAAGCAACACTAGAATCCCAACCAATGCAGTTTCTTGAACCTCTGACCTCTGTATAAGGAGGCTATAAGACATTGTGAGGGCCTTCCTATTCACCATATTTGACGGCCTATATGTTTTTCTCTGAGGCTATTTGAAGGACCATTTTTATGCTAAACCCAAGCTAAGAGACCAAGAACAACTTAAGACCAGCATCTGAACAGAAATCAAAACATTCCACCAGAAATATCAAATGTGATGAACAATGTAGTAGTAAGGATGCAGACTGTCATCGAAATAGGAGGTTAAAGTATCAAAAAGGCAAAACTGAATTAAAAACTGTATATAGGGGGAAAAACTTTCATCTTTTATCTACAAGACCATGCAAAAAATGTCTGAAAATATTGATTGGTTTGTCTATGGTGCTGATATACTTTTGGGTACATTTTTTTGAGACACCCTATATATATCTTCAGAAACAAGTCAAATTCTTTACTTCAGAGAATATTTTTAATTTATTGAGACTTTCGACTAATATCCCTTAGTCTTTTTCAAAATATAACAGCATGTATACATTTATGTGACGTCATAAACAGACAATGGAAAATTTAATTATGTAACAAATGACCTAGTAACCTAAAAAATAACAACAACAAAAAACATAGATACGAAAAAATGAATGACCTAATAATAACCTTAAGATAAATATATCATCGTTATGGTAACAATTAAACTCAAATATTACTATTGCATACTTTGCTATACCATTCTTAATTTACAATATTTTATGATACAAATTGTCCAACTGATACCCATTATCTCTGTTCATTTTAGGTTGCATTGTTTTAATATGAATTGCTTCCTTAACCCTACGTTTAAGATCATGACTCTCATTATCAATGATTTTTACATTGTTCCAGTTTATATTATGATCATATTCCATGGAATGTTCAATAACCGCAGAAGCAAGACCTCCAGTCGACAGTAATGTGGGTCTACGATGTTCTCTGATTCTAGTAACTAGTTCCCGCTTTGTTTCACCTACATAAGTGGCAATACAGTCTTTACAATCAATTTTGTAAATTACACCGGACTTCTTTTGATCATTAGTTTTGTCCTTTAAATGCACAAACTGTTTCAAATGAACAGAAAATTGGTAACTAATCTTCGTTTTTATAAAATGCAAGAATTATATGTAGAATTATATGAATGTAATCTAGTAATGTAGTTTGATTTGGAGATTGGTGGGCGATAATAAGTGTTTCCCGGGAATACATAGAATGTTCACAATACATTTCTATCAGATCTAAAATTGTCAGTTTTCGTGCAAAAGTCCTGAAATTTTCGCAGAAGTTAAAAAAAATAAAAATTCTCAGATTTTATTTTTTTCAAATAGACGCATTATCTTGAAGTTGTGGCAGGTTTAGTGCCAATGCATAACAAAGCGACAGTGGGCTTATTCAACAAAGCCATAATACAATTATATTGTCACAAATTGGCCAAGATACACGGCAAAATGCACAAGAAACTCACCTTTTTACAATAATTCCAAAAAGTTTGAGCAATCCGTAATTTGTTTTCACAAATTCGGAGCATGAAGTCGGTTAATTTTCACTCCTCTCTCGAAAAAGAGTAGAATAACTCTCACGTTCTTTCAAAGATGGCGCCACGCTGCTTACCCCATCAGACGAATCCTGGGACCACAGTGCCTCTTGTTGTTTTGTCCATATTTTAAATAGTGCTATACATAGGATATTTTCCAAAGTGTTTTTTTGTTTCAAAATTTTTGTTGTATTGGCTACTCCGTGGATGGATTTGCGGTACTTTTGTAGTTCCCCCAACTCCCAAGCGGTGTCTTGGAATAGACACTGTGGCGGGCAGATGAGGAAATAAGCAAAATTTGAAGAAAAGGGTAGATTTATTCAATTTCGTTAATACTTGTTCCTTAATCATTACTTTGGCATGTCAAAATATTCTAAAGATCAGGAAATATAAAAAGAAATATGTGTCAATTAAATTGGCCGAAGTTCACAGTCAGTCGTCATGGGCACGGAACAAGAACAATTCACATCAATATTTTAAGCAAAGTTGCCATACTTATGGTAAAAGATCTGCCCGCTGCATTGGTGTGTTGAAGACTTTTTTTTTTATTTTAGCACTGTCAAGGGGTATGGTAGTTCCCCATTTATATAGCAAAGTAAAATCCATGCTTTCCAGGTGAAGCTACTTACAAAGGAATTAGATATGCTGAAAAGGACAAACTTAAAGCAGATAGATGAGTTTAATGACATCGAGGATGGCCAGAGACAGCTAGCAAAGCTGCTTAAGGAGAAAGAATGGGAATGTGCTGACATTAAAGCTATGAAGGATGCCAGGTATTAGTTACAGTTACTAATAATTATTCTTTAAAACAAAGTTTGGGGTAATAAAGAATATTTAATACTGTTTATCTAAAGTCATGGTGTTTCTAATACTATTTACAATACAAATTTATGTAAATCACATTATTACTAATAATTATTCTTTAAAACAAAGTTTGAGGCAATAAAGAATATTTGATACTGTTTATCTAAAGTCATGGTGTATCTCATACTATTTACAATACAAATTCATGTAAATCGCATCAAGACATTAATTTTGTTAAGTCGCCTTTCGTTAACAGTCACTTAGTTTGAATGTCAGGACCAGAATGCCCATGTATTTTCATGATGGGCCAAACAATGGCGCATTCACATTAAAAGAGACTACAAAATGTCATTACCCCCTATCACACCAAACTAGTTCTTACCCGTTCTTGCCAGTCCTACGAAAACGTCGTAAAACGGTTTCAATCTGGCTGTGGTCGGGAAATATGTCTAAAATAATTAGCTTCTTCGTTCATAAACAGTCTTCAATACGTCCATCTCATTCGCAGTTTGTTCAGGTCGCACCACGTCGGTGTGCAACGTCGTATAATGCGTCCATTAGTCTAGAAGGTCATTATGACCTGATTACAGAACGGTATGGTCGCCATTGAATTTTGAATTGATTCAAAATTCTAAATCACATTCCCCATCCGGGAAAGTCCATGAAGTTCGTCAACAGACCGTAGAACATTGTAGCTACATTCATTCCGTTAGCTCACAGTTTAAAACCAGTTTGAAGAATGTAGTGGCAAATTGGTTGGTGTCAATCTAGAAGACCTACCCGTTCGAGTACGTTCTATGAAGTTTGTAAATAGACTCCAACGTCCAGTCCGTTCGTATACAGTTGAAGCCTGTTTTTTTTTTGAGAACATAGTGAGAACTAGTTTGGTGTGTTAGTAGGGTTAAGTATAAAGTCGCCCATCAATTAGTTTGAATGTCAGGACCAGAATGCCCATGTATTTTCATGATAGGCCAAACAATGGCACATTCACATTTAAAGAGACTACAAAATGTCATGAAAGTATTAAGTCGCCCATCAGTAAGTTTGAATGTCAGGACCAGAATGCCCATGTATTTTCATGATGGGCCAAACAATGGCACATTCATGTTAAAAGAGACTACATAAATAAAATGCCATGAAAGTTAATAAGTCTATAGTTTTGTTTCTTTTAACTCATGAAAAGTAGCAAAAGTCTCTTTAAATAATTCTAAATTATGAAGATTTTACAATATCAGTAAAACACTAAAACTTCCAAAAAGTGATGTGGGGTTCAAACTTTATGTATCCAAAATGTTGGTATAGAACATACAAAAGGGAGCATCAAAAAATTGTGCTTTTAGGTTATGGGCTAGCCCTTAAATTGCGGTATGTAGGTAGAATTTTGGAGACCATGTTAGTTACATCCTAATTTGTGACTCTCACCACAATTTGGCAATAATTAAGCAAAATTTTACAGCGTTTAGGAAAAATTCAATATTTATTCCCCCCGCATGACAAAAGTAGGGGGTACATAGAAAATAATTAATAACTTTACAAAAACATTATGAATAACCACAATTTTTTCAGAATATATGCACATATATGTCATTGATAACTGGTAAAACATTTGTGACCATAGGTATGATGGTTGCTATGGAAACATAATTTGATTGTCAAAATTTGCTAATTTATGTCTATTTTGGGGGGCTAGTTAACGAAAAAATCCTATGTTAGTAAGTTATGCTGCAAAAATAACATTGTTTAAGGTTTAGAAAATTGCATATATATGTCCTGCATGCATTAAAATTGGAATGATGATTGAATCTCAAATAGAAATTTTTTTTAAATTTTTTTCTATGACCCACCCCCTCTAAATAATCCAAAGTGGGCGTGGCATTTAACTGAATGATCAAGCCTACTTAACAGTAGATAACTTCAATTGTATAGCCAGTATTATCACAATTTCAACAGAAGGTATGATTCTGGGATCAGTTAACACTTTCTATGATTTTTTTTTATCTCCCCTCAATATTTATAACCCCTCCCGCATGACAAAAGTAGGGGATACATTGAAAATGATTAACAACAATCCAGCAAAAAACCACCAATTTTTCAGACAGAATAAAAAAAGTATCTTGTTCATGAAATAAAAGGGTTATCTTCATTTTTAGCTATTTTGGGGAGATTTGTTTTAATTTTTTAACCCTTTGAGTGCCATTGGGCCGATTCGGCCGATGGGAAAATGTATGTCGCTAAAGTGCCAAGATCGGCCCAAAATAACGCGTTTATATACACAGGGAAACATGTCATCAACTAGGAATGAATAATCTATTCTTATTTATTTATGTTTGTTCAGATCGCTCTTAATAAATCGACCCGGTCTCAGTTTGATTTAAGTTAATTTAACAGACGCTGGGTATTTTACAACATCGTATAGTAAATGCGTTTAACCAAGTTGGCAAGGTTTAATGGAATATCGGCCCGAATATAGTAGATTCAATGATGTCCCCATAAATGGTGAATAATACGTTACTGGTCAAGTAATTAAACAAATTGTGTTGCAAACTATCTGAGGTAACTTATTTTATGCTATGAACGCACGTAATTTTCGTATTTTTGCAACGCTGATGTTTGTTAGATTGTATCTGTTAACGCAATTTAGTGTACAAATGAAGTAAATACTTGAAATTCGTGTATTGGAAATAAAATATGCATGGATATGAATGAAACGTAATGTTTGTTTTGTTCATTAAAAATAATTCGACCTGATCTATTCCTCATATACAGTATACAATGTAGTTATATTTTACGAACGCTGGGCATCTTACAATATCCAAAAATTAATGCTTATTAACAAGCTTGGCATTCAAGGATTTCGTTAATATCGGCCCAAAATGTTGTCCCTATAAACGTTGATTTGTAAGTAATTCGTCGCAAGTATACCAAAGTCACTTATTTGTAAATGAGTGCATTTCTTATTATACTTTGAACGCATATGATTTTCAGCATTTTAGAACGCTTACTGTTGTCTTGAAAGTGTAGCGTAATAACGTTTTTGAAACATGAAATTAACTGTAACAATGTAAAACATGTATTTATAAATATAATCCATGTGAATATATAGAAATGACATTACACATTATGCATCAACTGAAAATAAAAATAAAATACTTTTGGATGTAGAAATGCGAACTGATCATTGATAAAGAGCGTCCGTTTTCGTGTTTGTACGATGGACGCTGTGGTAGCTACATGTGTAAGTAGGCCTACATTATGCCTTATTACATGTATTAAACAAATCAAACATTAAATGAGTTAACGTACCATTTCCTTAGTTTATCTGATTTTAACGTCGTCCTGAACATTATAAAAGGCGATACAATATGTATATTTCGTTGGGTAAATTATTTGTTCCTTCATGAGTATAGCAAGCAATACGTATATACGTTTAGGGGATCTGGATTTACAGACAATATTGTCACAGAATATGCAAATGCTAAGATGATTAAATGTACGAGTAATAAACAGTGTTTGAATGATTATAAATATAAAGAATCCACTATTTAGTTTTGTGTTCATTTAATACAATTAACCTGTTTTACCCTACCAGTGGAGACGATGGGCTCAATTGCAGTATCATATTGCAGTAAGTACAATGTTAAAGTATTTTACATAAATAAGGGTAGAGATTAAAAGGTGGATTGGATCGAGTGGATTGGATTCATGTAAAAGGTGGATTGGATCAGGATTCTTCAAATTATGGATTTTCCTTAAAAATGTATATTGATCTCCCATCAGATGATTAATGCTCTCCTCACTTCCACAATGTCAAATAATAGATGTTATATCATTTTGCTTGGGTAGGCTAGAAAGGTGACCTCAGATACACAATCTTAATTATTCCAAGAGTAAATTTAGACGTTTCACAAATCATAAGGCATGCTTTTGAAGTCGAAGTCCATATCATCTGTTTTCAATTCAAACAGAACATGTCTTGGGAACACCCACACGTCAATTTGAATGACAGTTTTTCTCTATAGATCTATGTTTATTATGTCTTACTAATGTTTATTTACAGGGGAGAGTAGTTAAATACTTTAGAGTATCTATCAACTAATTGAAATATGTATTTGTCATTGCTTTGTCGATTCTTAAAGGGACCCAAGTAATCATAAAATACTTTAGCCCGGAGGAAATTGCTAAGAGGGAGTACAACTAAAAAATCCATATTTTGAAGATTCCCGATCCAATCCACCTTTTACATGAATCCAATCCACTCGATCCAATCCACCTTTTAATATCTGCCTAAATAAGGGGTTTAAATTTAATAATATGAAATATTTTGTCCTAGATATCGTTTATTTATACTCCAGGCCACAAGGGCCGATTACCGCCCATTTTACCTGAAATTGTGAATTGCAACAATATAGAGTACCTCTCTTGTACATAATTTCGGCAATGTTAAATAAAGAGATGGCATCAGAAGAACATATATAAAATGACAATTTACTTACCTGCATTTAAATTCTACTGCGTGCTATAGAAGATCTAGAGTTTCTAGATAGCTTTGAAATCTTGCTAACTCTCGTTTTTTCATGTCGCGATTTTAAGAGATTTGCACTTTTTATCTCTAATTTTGATAGCATATTTGAATTTAGTGACACGTTTTCTCCAATAATAGCTTTGATTTACACAGTTATGTCATTTAAATCATTTTCTATGACATTTGAAAAAACTTGGGCCAAATCTCCATTGGTGCAGTACTAAAATTCATTCAAACCTTGGCTAATTTGTATGACAACCATCTTGTATTGACAATATTGACAGGGCCATCCAATAGTATGTCATTCGAGTTTCAGACAGATTCAACCAACACGTTTTGATAAATCATGAAATTAATTGACTATTGCACGTTTCTAGCACTGAAGTGAATGGAGGTCTGGCCCAAGTAAAGTCAAAGACAAACAAAAGTGACATTTATTATGTCAGC